AGGAATGTTAGTTGCATATGAAGACACTGTTTCATTATATAACTGAAACTTATTATTCCATCAACCCAAAGTGATTGATGTCTCTTGAAAATGAGCCCAAAGGATAACTACCTGTTCCTGGTCCTCCTGAAGCCTAATAAACTATCTTGTTCAACCAATTCCAGGGCATGACACAGGCTGTCACAGTAAGAGGGACTAGTAGTGGTGGCTTGCACACCTTCCAGGCACACAGATTATTTTATTCTAATTATTTTAGGTCTCCAGGGAGCTGAACTCATGCCCTTATTTATCTGCCTCACATTATACATCCAGCGTAAACCAAAGAACATAAACAAGTTTTCTTCAATGGTATATACTGATGAATGCTACCTTTTGGCTGGGACCTGGCCAGAATTATTCTTCACACAGAAGACCTTCCTGGTCTGTATGCCCACTCCACAAGTAGTTTCACCATTCCAGTAAATTGTAGCATTCAGAGCAGTTATCAAGGTGTTTTCTGAGCAGGGACTCCATGCAGATGTTTCCCAGTAGACCTGATGGCAAGAGTGGTCATTGCACAAGCGATAGTCTTGTAATGCAAGACTAGGAGGACATGCCTTTCCACCTGTAGGACATATAGATAATGATTTATGTCAGTGGCTTAAGAAAGAAAGACACATTGTTTCAGACACACTGCTTGCAATTCTTGTTCTGGTTTTTAATTAAGTCACACACACACACACACACACCCCGCTGCAATAAACGAGCTTCCAAAAGTTAGTCTTGCAAAACATTCCAACTTAATGTAGTTGTTTAGCACCTTACTTTATATCACAGCACTGCTCAAATGAATTGTCCTATTTTGTCCACAACCAGCTATCTCTGCTCAAGCTCATGGACTGGCTTTCATTTCCAACTCATGGGACATGGCGTTCCCTTCTCCCTACTCAGATAATACAACGATATGGCTGTGCAATAGCCAGGGCAAGGCCATGGATGCACCATCCCCACATAAATCACTGATTTGCCTCAATTAATAATACTCCAATAAACAGTGGCAACAATACAACAATTAAATTCAAATAATTAAGAGTTAATGGAAGCCAAATTAAGTAATATTGCCTAAAAGGTAATAACCCTCCACACTAATGTTTGTACTACACGTTTTGCGTGAATAAAACCTTGCTTAAAGAGCATTTCGCTCATGACAAAAGAGAAAATACCTCATAGGAGATTCTCCATCCCACCATGGCAGTTTCCATTTTTTTTTCCAATGGAAAAACAGGATAGGTTTTTTGCTCCCCACCATCACATATCTGGTTCAAATGACTGTATACATAGTGTATTGAATAGTAAAATGATGCTTGATCAAGGAAGCTGAGGGGAAGTCAGTGATTCTTACGCTAAACTAATTTTTGACCCACATAATCTCTGACCCACATAATCTCTGACTGGGCCTAAAACGAGGGGTCCCTGCAGTGCTTTCGGTGTCATTTGAGTTTGGCTCACCTTGTTCCTGGCCTCCAGCAGCTGACTGGGACAGGGAGCCACTGGGAATTAGTAGGCTAATTCACCCATGATCTAACTGAAAATAGATATTTGTTATACAATAAGGGGGCCAATTAATGAAGCTTCTATTGTTTAAATCCCTCCATCTGTATCACCGGCAAAACTATAATGACATAACTCATTCATACTATAAGAAAAGTCATGCTGCATCTGACTAAAGCCCCATCAAGTCCAGCATTCTGTTCACACAGTGGCCAACTAGCTGCCTCTAGGAAGCGCACAAGCAGGATGACTGAAACAGCATAATCCTTCCTGTGCTCCCTAGCGACTGATACAAAGAGCCATACCACCTCTGGTACTGGAGGGAGAAGATATCCATCATGACTAGAAGCCATTGATAGTTCCATCCTCCATGAACTCATCCACTCCCATTTTAAAGCCATCCAGGTTGGCAGCCATGACCACATCCTGTGGCAGCGAGTTCCACAGTTTAACTATGCACCATAAGAAGCACTTGTTTTCATCTGTTCTGAGTCCCCCCCCTTCAGCTTCAGTGGATGACTCTGGGCTGTTGCATTATGGGAGAGCATGAAAAGCTTATACTATACTGACTGTACAGTACACAGTTGCAATCTTTTGGAAGAACCAGATGCAATGTGCCCCCATGCGTCAGCCACCAACAACCAAGAGACAACCAGAGGGTTGCAGATAGATAGGCAAACACTAAGCTTCTTCATGTTTACTCTTCTGTCACTGAACCCTTTGATATGCAGATTGCTACTCTTAGGGTAAACAACTTCCTTCCATCTTCTTCCTCTCTTTCTCTCTCTGTTGCCTACACACAAAGATGGAGAACATGTTTCTCCGTCTTTGGCACCATGGATGCAGAATGCCTCTCTGCATCTGCATCCATCTCTAGCCAGTTAGAATAGGAACTGTCCCTAGCTCAAACTGCACTATCAAGACCAGAGGTGTCGAACTCACTTATTATGAGGGCCAAATCTTACATAAAAACAATAGTCATGCTTGTCATAGGGGGAATCCGGCCCATTGATATAACTAATGGCCACAACCCCTAATGAATAGGAGTGAGCGATTGAGTATAAAACTTGTTATTAGGGGTGTGCAAAAAAAAAAAGTACTTTTCTCCCCTTCTCACAATACAAGAACTCGTGGGCACTCAGTGAAATTGCTGACCAGTCGGTTTAAAACAGATAAAAGGAAGTACTTCTTCACCCAAAGAGTCATTAACACATGGAATTCACTGTCACAGGAGGTGGCGGTGGCTACAAGCATGGACAGCTTCAAGAGGAAATTAGATAAGCATATGGAGCAGAAGTCCTTCAGTGGCTATTAGACACAAAGTATAGATAGGAACTCTCAGGCTGGGGCAAGAGATGCTCTGTATTCTTGGTACTTGGGGGGGGGCAGCAGTGGGAGGCCTTCTAGTGTCCTGGCCCCACTGGTGGACCTCCTGATGGCACCTAGTATTTTTGGCCACTGTGTGACAGAGTGTTGGACTAAAAG